AGCCTTCTCTTCTCCACACTAAACCCCCAGGTCCCTCAGCCCTTCCCCATCACACTTGTGCTCCAGGCCCTGCTCCAGCTCCATTCCCTTCTCTGGCCCCATCCAGCACCTCAATGTCTCTCTTGCAGTGAGGGACCAGAGCTGAACACAGGGTTCGAGGTGCAGCATCACCAGTGCCCAGCGCAGGGGGACAGTCCCTGCCCTGGCCCTGCTGCCACACTGGGGCTGGGACAGACCAGGATGCTGGTGGCTCCTTGGCTGCCTGGGCACAAGCTGGCTTGTGTTTAGTTGCAGTTCCTCAGGACAACACTGCATTATTTACTGCAGCTTTTTACCCGTGTGTTTCAAGGCACTTTGATCACCAGAAAAGCATGGTTGCACTATTTCATCTCCATCAGGCTGCAAAGACCATTAGACAACCCAGACCCTGAAAATAAGCTCAGAACAGTTTATCCCCACTTAGTACTTCAAATAGATCAGTTTCCACCATGTATGACGTTTCCGGACAGGCTTGCTTCTTCCTTTTACAGATGCAGGACATAAACGCAAGCACCTTGGGTACTTACAGAGAGCAAGGGTCCTCTTCAGTGAGATCCGACAGGAAAACGTTGGCAAAGTGGATGAAGAGGGAGCCTATTGCTTGCTTGGAGGTATCATAAAACCTGGAGGAAAAAGGCAAGAAGATCAGTGTCCTGCAACACCAGCAGCAGAGAAGTCACTCAAGCAAAAGCCCTGCATGGATCTGCTTCCCTCCAAGATGCATTCTTGATGCCCAAGAAGCTGTATGTGAAAGGAGCCTGCAGCAAAAGGCAGTTCACCCTCCACTGCCCAGCCTCTGTTTCTCTAACTAGCAGTAGGTGAAGGGAAGGTGTTCAACTACTTACAGTGTTTGCACCCATCCACAGGGAATTAGACTGAATTCCCAATTTATTACAGAGGAAGAACCAAACTGAGGAGACTGGCTTCTCATCACTACCACTGGCTGGTAGCTCCATGCTGCCAAGCCATCCTGACTGTACTTCAATCCCAACGATATGCCCACCTCCCATCAGCCCATAAACCTTACAATATAGAGATCCTCTGCAGAGGTGTCCAAGCTGACAGCAATACCTTGCATCAACACACAGCCTGGGCTATGCCTGAGCTGGGCCAGGAGACACCAAAGAGGTTGATTGAACTGAAGAATAAAACTTGACCCTGTCTGGGAGACAGCTCATGTGCCAGGAGATTGGAGGGGACCAAAACCTCTCAGTTCAGGCACCTACAGTAAACTCAAGCTTTTCCAGAGGAGCTAGGCAGGGAATTTCACTTCTAGGGAGCACCAGCTACTCTGTTGAAGTTCCCTTGGGAAGGAAGCAGCAGCAGAGCAGTTCATTTAATGACTAAATGGGGCTGTTCAGCCTGGAGAAGAAAAGCTGCGTGGAGACCTCAGAGCAGCTTCCAGTGTCTGAAGGGGGCTACAAGGATGAGGGACCTTCATCAGGGACTGGAGTGATAGGACAAGGGGTGGTGGGTTCAGACTGAAACAGGGGAAGTTCAGCTTAGATATAAAGAAGTTCTTTACTGTGAGGGTGCTGAGGCACTGGCACAGGTTGACCAAGGAAGCTGTGAATGCTCCATCCCTGGCAGTGTTCAAGGCCAGGCTGGACAGAGCCTTGGGCGACATGGTCTAGTGTGAGGTGTCCCTGCCCATGGCCGGGGGTTGGAACTGGATGATCTTAAGGTCCTTTCCAACCCAAACCATTCTATGATTCTGATATTCAGAGAGTCTAGAGTATTGTCAGCATAAGAGAACACAGTATTACATACACACGGTCTTTTCAAGCTCCAAGTTAAAACATCTCACCATATCCTCCAGGGACGCCTTTCTTCCTTTGGCTCCTTAAATCGTTTTACTGCAAAGAAAGTTAGAGAGGTTCCATCAGCCAGCAGAGCTGAACCAACACAAGCACAGTCTATGCCAACCTTCAATGCAAAAGCAGCCAAAAGAACTCTGGAGGACCCTTAGTATTTCCCAGTCTAAAGCAGAGCAAAGCTGAGGGACCTGGCTCCCAACTAAGCAGACCCAAAACATCAACACAAGCACAGTCTATGCCAACCTTCAATGCAAAAGCAGCCAAAAGAACTCTGGAGGACCCTTAGTATTTCCCAGTCTAAAGCAGAGGGACCTGGCTCCCAACTAAGCAGACCCAAAACATACACCCACAGGTCAGAAGGATGCACAGCAGAGGTAGGTGTTTGATTCTGGCATCCTTCAGCAGCAGCATGTTCATGCCATGGGAAGTGATCTAAGGGAAGCTAGGGAGGGTTCATCACTACCTACCAGCCCTAGTAATTCCTCCAGGCAAACAAATTATGGTACTGACAGTGAAATGATCACAGCCCAAGAGTCCATTAAGCTTTTGGGTCACAGCAGTGAAATAGTCATCTCCTCCTTGTAGATAACAGGACCAGAGGACCTTCAAGGAAGCAGGACCCTGCACACATCCCCAGCATACAGGTACCAGTGCCCATCCCAAAATCCCTGTGAGTTGGCATGGCTCCATACCAGCTAGTATTAAAGCACTATTTCATTACACAGTATCTAGCATGTCCCACTGTGGAGCAGTGGTCTGAGACACATGGCTTCAGCACCACCAACCATATGCCCTAAAAAGAGATATTTTTTATCTTTTTTAGGATAAAAAGAGGCAACTCTTCCTTCCTTTAAAACACTCAAGGCAAGGCTGGATGGGGCTTTGAGCAACCTAGTCTAGTTGAAGATGTCCCTGCTCACTGCAGGAGGATTGGACTAGATGAGCTTTGAAGGTCCCTTCCAACACAAACCAGCCTATGATTTTATCTCCTAAAATTCTCCATGAACTGAGCATTGCAGAAGCATCTCAGAAGGTCCTAGTTGATTTGACACAGAGCTCTGATGCTCTCCTTGGGCTCAACCAGCCTTTACATGCACAAACAGGAGCTGCTAATGCAAAACCACCAAGTTGTGCATCCCACACAGAAGCCACTTTGACTGTTTTGCTGTCACTCCATTAGCAGCCTGTTTTAGAAGGCACCAGCTACCACACCAACTCTTCTCCCTTTAAACCTACAGGTTCCAATGCTCTGGAACAAGCAGACGTAGAAGAGGCTTTTCCACTACATTTACTAATATTATATTAATATTAACTAATTTGAAGGAAAAGATACCCCAGAAGTAAAGGGCATTCAGTGGCACTGTCTTGCTTTGTGGTGAGGTTGCTGACAGCTACATCTAGAGCTGGAGACATCATCATTACAGCTGCTGCCCCCAAACCTGAGGCAGACACAGAGGATGCAGATGCCCATCCTTGCCTTGGCTGCTGGAACCACTCTCCTCCTCAGCAGTGTTAATGAACTTAAGATGTGTGGCAGGTTAAATCTGCCACAATCGGGTTCCAAATATTCTGCCAGCTTGAACAGGATCCAGAGTTAAAAATAAGGAGCTGGGATGTTTTTGGAGGGAAATGGACAATAATGCAGTGCATCCTCTCTAACTCCTGGGAGTCTGGGGATGAGAGCAGAGCTGCTGCTTGGTGGTGCCATCTAGTGAAACCAGGAGCCTGAAAGCAGCAGAACACCCAAGTATGAATCAATGTGCAATGTACAACCCCGTTAGAGAAACCACCCCAGGAGTACCTATTGTAAGCATCAATCACCAAAGCCTTCCATTGCTGCCAGGTCTGCCCAAAGCCAGGGAGATCACTTCAGCGAGTACTGAAGAGCACACAGGCTGCAGAAGCCCAAACACATGATCAGGTTTTATCATCAGTAAGTCTTCACCCTTGAGAGCCTTGTAGCTCCTTTAGAAAGCAACCAGAAGCCAGAACAGACATACACCATCTCACTCATCACAGCTATTCTTTCTTCATCCCCACCTCAGCCTCATGTAATTAGCTACTGCCTTCAAATGTACAACCAAAGGGTCTTTTTTCACTGCTGACGGTTCTTGGCACATGAGGACACTTCCCAGGATAACTTTGGGATATGAAGACAGGGACACAGATAAAAAGCAGGGACATCAGAGCCACATGCTCTTCAGCAGGGTAAGGAGATGCACTTCTATAGACACGAGCTTCCTTACTGCCCATGGGAGGAACAGGGCACGAGCAACACCTCTGGTCCAGTTTAGATCACTAACACTGCTGACCAGGCCAGCACAATTTGAAACACAACTTGATATCCAACTCCTTCCAGATTCACACTGTACTCACTAGTCTTACAGTTAATTAAACTGCAGAGAAGCAAATAGATTCTGTCAAAGTAAGAAAATACCCTTCTAGAGCCAGGAACTGATCTAATTCAGGCACACCACAGTAGCTAGTCCCATAGGAATCCCATAAGATACCCACAGGGAATCTGAATTACTCTGGTTATAACCTGAAATAAGGCTTCTTCCTCCCCCTGCTCAGAGGAAATAGACAGCTTGGCCAGCAGAGCTCATACATGGACCAGAAGGCAAACCCACCTCCAGAAGCAGAGCCAGCAGCAGGCTCAGTAAAGGCTGGGGAGAAGCACCAGCACATTAGGTGGATACAGCCCAAACGAAGGGCTCTTTGCTGTTCTGTACCTAGACAGTAATTAACTGACCTGCTCAGCCCAGCTGCACTTGAGCATATCTGCCCCAAAGGACAGCCTGGGCCCGTTCCCTTGGGAAATGCCTTTCTGATCCAGCCTGGAACGATGCAGGAACTTCCCTGCCTGGAGCCTCAACATTTCAGAAGTACAACTTTGTACTACCTTTACTGGCAAGGTGAAAGAACAATATATGATAAGACAACCCCCACAGCCCAGGATTTCAATCAGGCATATGGAGGGGTTTTGGTGCCACTATCAAATCCATAGAAAACCAGCACTCCAGTAACCTGATTCACTATTGCCATTAATGAGTAATGAAGCAGCAGTCATGCCAAGTTACATCAGGCATTGCTGCAGCAGTTCGTATCCTACCCCTGTCCAGAAAAACTACCTGGTTTCCCTTATCCAGTTAAATCCCACCACAAGATCATACAACGGTTTGGGTTGGAAAGGACCTCAAGATCATCCAATTCCAACCCCCGGCCATGGGCAGGGACACCTCACACTAGACCATGTCGCCCAAGGCTCTGTCCAACGTGGCCTTGAACGCTGCCAGGGATGGAGCATTCACCACTTCTTTGGGCACCCTGTGCCAGCACCTCAGCACCCTCACAGGGAAGAACTTCTGCCTTATCTCCAACCTGAACTTCCCCTGTTGCAGTTTGAACCCATCACCCCTTGTCCTATCACTCCAGTCCCTGACGAAGCAGTGACTTCCATCAACACAAACAAGATCTGTCATCCCTGATGCCCTTCAAAGTGCCACTTGCATTTCACTCACCCATAAACAAGAGACCCATGGACCATCCAAACTGTTTGAGCAGCCAGAAGTACCTAAACTGAACCTAACTTGCTCAGTTCATGGGGCAAAGAGCATGATGCTGCAGAGAAGATGTTGGAGGGGTCTACAGACCACCAGGCTGACCACTAACCTGACCATGAGAGCGCCAGGGATGAGTCTCAGTATTTTCCTAATGAGAAGTGACATGTTACATATCCACAGCCACTCAGGCTAGAAATACAGTAATTCAGTGTGATAAGATGACAAGTAAGAGGTAAGAAGTTAATGGTGTCGTGCCTTGTTGAACACAGCTTGTCATGCCTCATTAGATTTAAGAGAGTTATCCGAGACTGTGTAATTATCAGAGACAGTAAAACTGTTGTATTAAAGATAAAAGCTAGTATTATAGAGAAATAATTAACTGCTTAATAGGGCATTTACTGTGCAGGGCTGCAGCAGGCTGTCTCCAAATTAAAGCAGAAATCCAGCTAAGATCACCAGAGCTTAAACGGGCAGCAGAGTCCTTTGGTGGTTGTAACCCAGAGGTTAGGGGTGATGCTAAATCCACATAAAAGCAGCACCAGGTCACCGAACACTCAAGGAGCTGATGAAGTCCTCTTTGAAGCAGCACTGCTACTTCTGTGCTTTGGGAGCAGTGTGGGGCTCTGGAGCAACAGGCTGAGCAGCAGCTCTAAAGTGTTTCTGTGCTCTTCCAAGCCCTGGTATGCACAGCCCCAGGCTGGAGAAAGGACAAAGTCTCTTTTGCTCTTCTTGAGATGTGTCTCCACTCACTGGGATCAACTCAAGTTTTACACCAACTGTAGATGTGGTTTTGCTGCTATGGCTCAGGCAGATCAGCCCACCCCAAGCTGTGCATGCTTACCCATGCATCAAGCAAACAAATATGTGATATTTAAGTTCTAGCACCTACACCTGATCAAATATTGAGTTCAGTGCACACAGAGCCATACAAGATGGGGGACAACCCACATCCCATTAAATATAAGACTAGCATGTACTGGGTCTACACCAGAAGACATCATGACTTTGTCTTTCCAACAACACTGCCAGCCACAGTATCAATTGTTTTGGATGGAGAGGCCCTCAGTGACGTGGGTTAGCAGTGGTCTTGGCAGTCCTGAGATAAAGGTTGGACTTGATGATCCTAAAGGTCTTTTCCAACCCAGTTGATTCTATTTTAAGTCTGCTTCCCTCATCAGCTTTGTCCCTTTGTAAAGCAAGCTGGCTTCTGGAAGGAAGCAATGTTACTGCACATCTCTGTAGGACTCCCAATCTCACTTCAAGCCTTTTCACATCATCACTAGGAACAGGACCTCACAACCAGTAACACTAAACAAGAAACTAGTCCTAGCAACACATTAAGCAAGTCAAATTTACATGAACCTTTAGATCCCTTTCCCTCCACCTCAATCTTTCCAAGG